TTTATCTTGTAAAATATAGAGAATAATAATGCACATTTTTTAGGGTGGTTATGCAGTCTGAATTTAATAGGCCAAGTAAAATACCTGGAATTAAGTCCTTGGTATTAAGTCTTTGGCATTTTAGAAATTCCAGTCTTAAAGAATTTGATTCTCCTGTTAAGATTATTTTTCTGATAATGAATTACCTGATTTTGATTCTAGATCTCCAAATATTCATTTATCTACTGGTATTTACTTATGCTATTTATCAATAGTTCTAATTTATGCATTTCCCTTTTATATCTACTAGAGGTCAGAGTCTCCTGAAACCTTATTCTCTAGTAGCTCACTATTATATGATTTTCACCCTCACTTTCCATCAATATAATTTCTTTTGCTATATAAAATACCACTAGAGGTCTGGCTTAAAGATAGGTGCAAGAAGATAAATAAGATTTCTGGTATTTGCACTTTATTAGCCATTGCCAATTCATCTAATCCTCTAAAACTGTTAGTTTCTTTATCTGTTAACCAGCCTCATTACCAAGGATCTCATTTATTGTTTCATTCCACAATCATCCCCAAATCTGTCTTCCTGATCCCAGTGTTTAACAGTTCAAGTTTGCCAGGTAAACTTTAGTTACTGAAAACCAGGAGGTCATGCTGACACATTATAACTAAAGATCAAAACATGGTACCATCAAATATGAGATGGTACTACATTTAGATTAATTTTAAAACAATAGTTTTAACTTGATTTATGTTGACACAAAAGCACACCCAGAGAAGATAGGGTAGCACACAATTGACCACATGTAAGCTGACCATGTTCCATGTGACTGTGTGTCCTTGCTCCTCCCAGATGACAACTTCGCTTGGCCTTTGGTAAGCAGGGCCTGGCCAATGCATAATCAGGCCATGTGGTAATTGGTTACTGTAGGTCAGGTCTTTTAACCGGCATTAGATAACCAGTGTTTCTGATGACACTGATGAAACAATCTGTTAAAAACAATCAGTAAAGGTATGCCTGTATATCATGACACAGTGTTTTGGATAAATAGATATATTCTGTTTAGTTTTTGAATTAAAAAATAAGTCTTTAAATAGACTTCCCAGTGCTATTTTGGGGGACATCAACAGTGCCTAGGATTCCAAGTTAAAAGTACTTGAAATACTGGGGGTCCTAGTATATTTTTCTTGCATGTCTATAATTCTAATGTCCCTAGTGATCTCTTCCTCACCATCTCATTAAGTTTCTATTTCATCCTTCTTGACTGATGTTAGATATTGATTAAACTATGTTCCCTTAACTCCCATTTCCTGAAGGTCACAAATGCAAACCTGAAATTGTCCTCCACATGTAGGAACAAAGATTTCTTAGAAAGGAGAGAGTTTTTCTTTCCCAGGAATCTCTTGAAGTTGGCATATGGTCAGTTCTGCATTTCCTAGGCATGTGATACTTAGCAGCCCGGAGTGGGTGACTGAGGGTCAGGCAGTCCGCCCTGACTTACACAGAGGCTTTCTCTGAAGATGTGTAGAAGCCAAACCTATACCCAGTGAAGCAGAGGTCACAGAGATGAATAAGAGAGCCTGTGCATCCTCCTCCTCCTCTCTGCTTTTGTTTTACATCAATTTATTCCTGGAACAAAAAACAAAACACTGTGTCATAATATACAGGCATACCTTTATTGATTCTTTATACAAAAAGGGGAGTTAGCATAAAAACTCTACTGCTTTTCTGGAAATTTTAAATGCCATTTTACACATTTGTATAAATTATGAAGATTTCTGGGTTTTCTAAATTAATTTTGACACATCACAATAGCAACATTTGTTTTCTGTGAGTTAACTGTCAGCTGCAAAATTTAGAAACAAAAATCTATAAATGAAAAAATCACTTCCTTCAGGCCTTCTACTGATAGACTCAAAATGTGCCTGTGAGACAGAAGGGATTTGGCCATATGCCAGTGATAAAAATAGATGCTCTTCTTTCTTCCTCCAAACTGTAACTACAATTAGCTGTGTGTGTGTGTGTGTGTGTGTGTGTGTGTGTGTGTGCGCATGCTCATGTATGCGTGCTCATGGAGAAAAAAGGAAATATGAACAGATGTAGGAGTATTTACAGAGATGGAATGTTATATTTAGTTCTGAATTGGTGTAAATGAGGAAGAAAAGTAATAGAATCATAGATGATGAATAACAGCTCCTGAGAAATAGCTCCCTTTTCCTGCTCTGTTCAGAGCTCCTTGGCTTTTGGCCTCATGGAGGTTTCTGTTTGGTGTCAAATAAATTTTGATTCCAGTGATCAGGCTGGTTTTAATGAAAGACACTCTAAACAGAATTAGAAGGCGTTTCATGGAATGTTTCACTCTGAGCACAGAGCATAGGCCCAGTACACTGCAGTACACAGAGGATCACAATAACACAACTCATAATATTTTTGCTGTTAGAGGCTCTCACCTTCAATTTGTAAATAATCCAACACCTCAGGTAGGGTATGCTACTTAGTATGTACCTATTTGTGAAGACACATGGCACCTGTTGGATTTCCTAAAACAAAACTAGATGGGGCTGCTAAGGAGCCAGCAGGTGAGCAAGCAGTAAGTTAGCTCAAAATCTAGGAAACTAGGTCTGCGAAGTTAAATTAATTTGTAATTCTTATGCCTATGAAGAAATCAAAGAGAATACCCCATGGTAGTGGGCAGTATCCTTTCATTTCCAATCAGAAACAAAAATGGTTTGCATTAGGAAAGCATATAAATCAAAAGCAAGTACTGGTTATTTTAAGGAAGATAATTATTAAGCTGTGAAAACCAGCATTATGTTCTTGCTGACACAGATGCCAACAGTCCATAATTACAATACATTTCTCTCTGCCTCAGTTATTCTTTAGATTCAGCCATATAAGTTTAGTCACGTTGACTTAGGGACACAGCCCCATTAAAAGAAAGTCATTGTCATCACAGAGTGTGCGTGCATTCCACACCTAATGTCTCAGAATATTATAGAGTTACCTTTCACTCTCAAACATACCCCAGCGTGGGTAATTTATACAGTCATCCTGTTCTCTGCCTGTTAGGAGAGACAAAAATATGTGGCCCCAAGGCATATGGGAAACCCTGTGAAAGCAAGGAGCCAACTAAGCCTCACAGACTCAATGAACTTGGCCAGTGTAATGTGTGCAACAGAAGCTAGTTTTCAGGGTTAAAAATGCCATTAAACAGAAAATGCTCTCTCTTCTTTCATGGTGTGCCTTCCTGGTGCCTCCTCTGCACACGAGCCCTGAAGACAGTGAGTTTTTATTTCTGAGTATGTGAAGCATGGGTAAATGTGTCGGGTAATATGACCTAAGACCATGGTCGGCAAACTGTGGCTCTCGAGCCACATGCGGCTCTTTGGCCCCTTGAGTGTGGTTCTTCCAAAATACCATGGCCTGGAGAGTCTATTTTGAAGAAGTGGCGTTCTAAGAAGTTTGAGTTTAAAAAATTTGGCTCCCAAAAGAAATTTCAATTGTTGTACTGAAAATGTCCATGGTATCATAATTTATTTTATTAGAGAAATATATTTGGAGAAGTAAAACCAAATTTCTCTGCCAAAAGTTAACATTTTCTTCTGACACCACACACAAGAATAAACAAAAAATGTATTAAAGGCTTAAATGTTAGACATGAAACCATAAAAATCCTAAAAGAAAACATAGGCAGTAAAATCTCAGACATTTCTAGTAGCAATATTTTTTTTGATATATCTCCTTGGACAAGGGAAACAAAAGAAAAACTAAACAAATGGGAATCCATCAAACTAAAATTTTTTTTCACAGCAAAAAAAAACCATCAGCTGAATGAAAAGACAACCCACAGAATGGGAGACCATATTCGCCAATGACACATCTGACAAGGGGTGAATATCTAAGATTTATAAAGAATTTATGTATTAGAAGGTGCAATGGGTGAAGACAAAGGATGCCGAAGAATTGTATTTATTCAGTCTCAGTCTCTGTAAAGTTGTTAAAAATTAAAAATAAACAAAAGGCTTAGAAATGATCAAACTACTGATCAACTAGTTGCTATGACATGCACTGACCACAGGGGGAAGATGCTTAATACAGGAGCTGCCCCCTGGTGGTCAATGTGCTCCCACAGCCAACCTCCCATAGCTGGTCAATGTCTTGTGGTCCCTCCCCCTGGCCAGCTGGTCCCCTGATCATCCTCGATCTCCAGCCAGGCCAAAGGAGCCCACCAGTGCGTGAATTAATGCACCAGGCCTCTAGCATTATTAGGGAAAACAAACTTTAGTTTAACTTCCTTTGAGAAGACAGCAGATATTTTCTCATACCTTCTATATTTTAATCCTCTGCACTTGTGTGTTATTTTGCTTATTTTATTTCCCAATCCACAGAAGCAATAAATAAAGCAGAAGGAAGTGGAAGAGATATTAGAGGCAGACAAACTGCATCCATGGAAAGTTTGTAGTCATGACCTTTAGAACAGTCACTGATAATATTGTCTTGTCTCTAATTATGACAAAGCAACAAGGCCTATGGCCCAGAGGAGTGACTTGTAGTCTCACAATTTTCCCTTTGCCTTATACCATAAGGTCACCAACAGCTAAGAGTATTTTAATATCATAATTCTAGAAACTAAGGACAGAAAAACTCTTTTAGGAATTAATTTAATAAGTTTTATTAGCATTTGTCCATTGTTTGGTCCTTCATTTCCATCACAGTATCTTGCTAGGAACAAAAATGATCGAGCTACATTATTTACCTTTTTGTTTTTCATAAAATATATGATTTTGTGGCCCAGCCATCAAGAGTCAACCTTTGAACCAGAAGGTCATGGTTTAATTCCAGGACACATGCCCTGGTTGAAGGCTTGAAGGAAGCAGCCAATCAATGACTCTCTCTCATCATTGATGTTCCTATCTCTCTCTCTCATTCTCCCTTTCTTTCTGAAGTAAATAAAATGTGTGTGTGTTTTTTTTTAAATGTGACTCTGTCTCTCCCTCCCCGCCCCCCACAGACCCAGGATTGCATAGGCAGCTGTATTTTCTGCAAAGACCTTCCAATGTGGTAGCCATTGAAGGAAAGGATGCTGTCCTAGAGTGCTGTGTATCCGGCTATCCTCCCCCGAGCTTCACCTGGTTACGAGGAGAAGAAGTCGTCCAACTCAGGTATTGTAGGACTTCTGTGAAGTTATACGCTATGATTTCTCTTTCTCTAGTTTGACAGAGATACCTACAAATATTAGGGTCTTTGATATTAAATGAATATTTTTCCATGTTCCTTGAGATACAGTATATGAAAGACATTTACCCACCTAGATAAAGGTTCAAGAAATGGTCAAAATTCGTGAGATCAATTCTAAAAGGAAATTTTTAAAAGCCAGATTGTCATTGAGAGAATTCTTCCCAAAGAGTCTTCAACAAAGATACTCGGAAAGATCTCATAAGCATATAGCAAGTGAAATATTTCTTAAGAAACCAACATTTCTTGAATTCAAGATATAACATTCAAATATAGAAGGTTTGTGTAACTTTTGTTAGCTCCAGTAATATTTCTCACTATCTTCTCTACAACAAATATTCCAGGTAAGGCAGGAAAAGGACTTGACCAGCTTTGACTTACTGGGCATTACTATTAAGGCATGGTTAGAAAGTAAGCTCTTAAATAGAATGGAGCACTTAGTCTGAAACATTTTGATTGAATGAGTTTCACTTAAGAAATTAATTTCATTGATTTTTGAGGTTTGGCATGCTCCTTTTCAACACATTTATTTTCTATGGTGAGATAGGTGCAGAGACAATAAGTTAATCTCTAAATGTCATTTACCTTAAATCCTATATAATAGAAAGCTAATATGCAAATTGTCCCCTCAACCAGGAGTTCCACCAGGAGTACCTCCAGGGGGGTGGAGCTGGCTGGCCAACCGCCTGCAGCCCCGCCCCCGATCGGCACCCCCTCACATCCACTGGTGCATGGACTCATGCACTGGGCTTCTAGTTTTAATAAATGGTATGGTATCACAATACTTCTGGGAACATGAAAGCATATGGAACCCTTTCCATCTGCAGATTGTCACAATATATTCCCTGAGCATAGCCTGGCATTCCTGGCATGGTGTGAAAGGGCCTTGTACAAAAGTTACTAAGTAGGATGAAGGCCACATGGCACTGACCTCTGCTGTGCAGAACAACTTCTCTGGACCTTGCAGCTTTCAAATTCAAAACTAAAGAACTGGCCCAGATTATCTATACATTCTTCTCAGCACTAACATTAGTGCCAAGTTGAATCTACTTCAGTTCTTCAATCAATGCACACAGCCTTCCAATGGGAGTGGTTTACCTTGAAGGAATTTCTCACTAATAACTGCAATGCCATCAATTCCCTATGATACAGAATTTCTTTTTAGTTTTATAATTTGAATTTTTGTAGAGTTCATTTAAACCTTTGAGTACCTGTTGATAGATGGACATGTTAGTTTAGTCTCTAATTTCATATGCTTTTGTCTTAACAGGTCCAAAAAGTATTCACTATTGGGTGGAAGCAACTTGCTTATCTCCAATGTGACAGATGATGACAGTGGAACGTACACCTGCGTTGTCACATATAAAAATGAGAATATCAGTGCTTCTGCAGAGCTTACAGTCTTGGGTAAGTTAATGGCTTGAAATGAGTTTACATGGTTCCCTTCAAAATATATCACCATGACGCTTCAACTGCTTATTGCCCAATTGCTCCCTATGTTTTTAAGTGGAAAATTGCCATCTCGGTACTCCACTTGTAGCCTTGCTCTGCTTTGATTAATTGCATCAGGGTTAAATGCAGTGTTTGAATACTTGCTCATTGATTAAAATCCAGATTCATCACACTTTAGTCTATTTATTTCAGTGATGCAACTGAAAACTACCAAAATTATTATTTAACAAATGTGATATTCCGAAATACATTATCTGGGGAAAATAAATGAAGTAATGAGATAAATTGCATGACAAATATGAACCTCGATAGAAAAGTCAGTTGTCATTTGAGATGACAGGGTATCTGAGAGTGAGTTCAGATGTGTTGCTAAAATTCCTTTGTTAAGATGGAGAGACTGTAGATGTTATCTTGAGAGTGAATCATTAAAATCAAATACATCTAGAGAAAATTTGCATGGCAAGAATATAATTTAAAGAAATTTAAGGACCACAGATGGGGTTCAAATTATTTCGAGAGGAAGGGTCACCAGCTATCATTGCAAATTAATCATTCTTCTGGGTGGTAGGTATTCCAATGGGGTGCATATTTTATCATCTACTCCAGATTGTTTTTAGGCCAGTTTCTTTGAATTATGTAGCTTGGAGAAAGTACCTTAACATTTGAATTTCAATTGATTTTTCATGTAACAACAAAAAATTGTCTACCAGTCTTTGGATTAGTTTTCCTCTGGAATAAATCTTCTTACCTTTTAAAGGAAAAATCATAGGCTCTTGGAAATTTATTCGGTAAAACTGAAAAGATTCAGTATACTGATTATATCAGCTAGTCCATATCATAATATCATTATGCTATCCATTCTGCTTGTGGGTTTCATGTTTATTTTTAAAATGTTTTAATCTGTACTCAGGGTAATAATGCAGACGATGGGTGAGGCAATAGACTTGTTTGTTTCTTGATCAAATCATAAATATTAAACTAAGAATAGGCAAAGGACTTTAATTCTTTGGTTTTGGAGGTAATATTATTCGAACTTAATATCATCTGTCTTTAAAATTACAACAATTTCATTTATTCTTATACTAGAGGCTGGTGCATGGTATTCATGCAAGGGGCTCATCTCAGATTCAACGGGAGGTCTTCTGGTCTAATTAGCATATTATGCTTTTATTATTATAGATGGAAGTTTTTGCTGAAACAAAAACTTTTACATTTGTAACATCAAAGTACAGTAACATAGAATGGTTACCATAGAAATTATCTTGAAATGTCTATTACAGATCATAAGGCAAATACAGTTATGGGATGCAATATAATTCTTAATGATCATAGGTCACTATTACAGATTAAATAAATCTCTAATTGCAAACACATAAAGTTAAATTATATCTCAAACAAATCCACATTTAAATATGTAATACTTCATTGTTATGTAAGACTAATATATAAATTCTGATTTCTGAAACTACATAATTAGCATAAAATACCTGTACAGACATAAATATCTCATGCATATAATATTCATATACATTTCTCTGTGTGTTCATGTATGTGAGTGTCCTTTAGTTCTTTATTGTTGAGAATTACCTTGTTTCCAAGTTCAAGTTAATGAAAACGAACACTGAGATGATCATTTTAATAAATATATCTTTGTTATTTATTTGCTTATAACTTAAAGAAAAGTATAGCAGAAACAGTTATAATCACCAGCAGTGCAATAATTTGCCTGTCACCTGGGTCAATCTATGAACCAAAAGTTCATGGTTTGATTCCTGATCAGGGCACATGCCTGGGTGGCAAGCTCAATCCCCAATGTGGGGTGTGCAGAAGGCAGTCAATCAATGATTCTCTCTCATGATGTTTCTATCTCTCTCTCCATATCCCTTCCTCTCTGAAATTGATAAAAGTATATTTTAAAAGAGAATTTGCCTATCATCATTCATGAGTATATTTTTTCCTAGTCCCCAATATTTGCTTATTTAACATTTTATAACAGTTAAGTCTTCTTTTTCTAATTTTCATCGCTATTAAATCCAGGTTTCTTTTTATAGTTTTAATGTCATTTTTTCACCTTTTTACTTTTATGAAAATAGTCATCTTCATTTTGTTGATTTGTAGGAGCTCTTTCTATAGGAAGAATAGTAACTTTGCTGCGTATGCTCCATGTGTGTATTTTTGTCATTTTTTAATTAAAAATTTTATTTTATATATGATACAAAGTCTTTTTTTTTTTAATGGCTGCTGGCTTTGTGGGCTTTAGACTTACATTTTTGTTCTAAATGGATCACCTTATTTAGATGTGATTATGCATTGAATGTGTAAATTAGAAGCAGTACTAATTTTTAAAAATAGATGGTACTGTGTTTATATCGGGTGATTTAGGTGTGTGGTTTTTTGGGGGGGGAGTTGAATCTTTCTAATAACTGGGTATATATTTTAAAGATTTCCCTACATCCCTTGTAAAATTTATAACTATTGTAGAAGGCATAATTTAATTCAGGAGGTGGTTATAATGCTGTTTTAACTGTTCTACTCAGAGTTTAAAGTAAGTATCAATATAACGATATTTTTATATATTCTTTGACTATTCTGATATAAAGTTCATCTAGCAGGGCTGAATTTATTTGGAAAGTAGAACCTATTACTCTTTTAACTGGAAGATGAAAAATAAGATGAAAATAACCACTTATGTTAATGATTCTGACCTGTTGGAATAGCCATCAATATGTTACTAGTGACCAAGTTTTGAGTACATGTACCACATAGGTTCTGGGAAGGCTAACAAAGGTTTGAAATCTGGCTTAAATGGGATTTTAGTATCACCACAAATGTATACAATCAGTTGCTCTAATGCCTTATGGCTAAGATTTTTTTTCATAATGTAAACTTGGAATCAGTGATAATATGAGGAGTTGATAATCTCTATTCTCATAAAAGACAGAGCATAAAGTTGGGGGTGGGGGGGCGTTGGAGGGGTCCTTGAGAGGATGCAGAGCCAGGCTCTCTGATATGGTCCTAGCTTCTGTTTTATTTGAATCACTACTGCCATAATGAGCTACAGAGCAGTAGTCTGTCCATTTTTATTTGCAAACTGTCAAACTTTCTGACTGAAGAATTATCATCATTTCTAAAAATATATTAATTTTCCCTATATCTATTCACCTCCATCATTATGCAAACATCCATATGCATAGCATGATTTGCCACTGACTTAGGTCTAGATTTATTCCTTGTCTGAATAGATGCATACATGCATGTGTTAAATATGTATTTGATCTTTAACCTATAGAGTGCCCAACCTTAGATAATTTCTGTACACTGTACATACACACAAACACACACACACACACACACACACACACACACACACACACAAGAAGGTAGGTGGAAAGTTCACTTTTCAGTAGAAGCCGTTAGGTCTGAAATCCATGAAAAAATGAAAACATTTTTGAACTTTTCAGAAAGGATTCTGGAATTTATTTTAAAGAGGTCCGCAGTAATTTATTCAATATACTATTTAAAGTTTACGTTTGGCCCTAGCCAGTTTGGCTCAGTGAATAGAGCATCAGCCTGTGGTCTTAAGGATCCTGGGTTGGATTCTGGTTAGGGGCAATGCCCAGGTTGTAAGCTCCACCCCTAGGAGGGGACATGCAGGAGGCAGCAGATCAATGATTCTCTCTCATCTCAGTGATTCTCTCTCATCATTGATGTTTCTCTCTCTCCCTTTCTCTTACTCTCTGAAATCAATCAAAATAAAAAAAAAATAAAGAAAAAAGTTTATCTTTGTGTTTAGGCTTCCCTGATGATTTTCCTCATCAACTTTCTAAAAAAATGTTGGCTATAATTGGCACAAACTGGTTAGTAGGAGACAAATAATTCTGATGGGTCAGATCTTTAAACATAATTAAAGACCTGAAGTCACATCCAAGAGTTCCCCATATGCTCCACGGTGTGAGGGGACCATATCATGTCACATGGTGGTTGAGTTTATACTTTTCCCAAGTAAACACCTTTGCAAGGAAGTCCTTTGTGGGAGATGTCCCTCCTGCAGGAACTTTTCCTTAAGAAGGAGACTCCCATGGGTCATCCTCTCTGCATGCCTATGTTCAGGAGGCCTCTTTCCATTGACCTAAGTGTGTCCACCATAGACAGGTATGTTCTTTAAGCCTGATAGTAGTGTCTGTAGAATAATACATGCTATCTACATTTATATACACGATTCACATACTATAGTATATTTTCTATTTTTAAGAAAATGTAACTTCAAAATTGATTCCCATCCTCTCTTAAATGCATATCATTATCTCAACCCAGCATTAATGTACTGATTCTGCAAATGTAACTATAATAGACCAAGCTATTCAGAAAGTTTTTAGGAACATTATCTTAAAAGGGAGTTAAGACAGCATATTAAGATACATGGGAAAAGTTTGAACTGTTAAAAACTATCATTTTTATTGTAGTGGGATGGAAAAAATCTATGTTAGTAACTCACTTTATTTTGAAAATGCTTTTGAATAATAAAAAAAGATGACTGAATATGTAGTGAATTAACCAATTACAGTTCCAGTCCCAGATATACAACTGAACCTCAGCATTAGTAGTAAAGCAGCAACCAACCAATGAGTAAGTGCCTCTGTGTGCTCTGCTAAGTACTCTTTGGACACAGAAAGGCACATATGACACAGATCCAGGCTTCATTAGGAAAAAAGACAGGAAGTGCGCATTAGTAAAAAACCCAAAGAACAGCTGGGGAAAGAAGGAGTCCAGGGGCCCTGGATAAAGAGTTCAACAAAGATGAGAGAATGGGATTTGGGATTTGGTTGGAGGAACAGGAGAGAACTTTCCAGGCAGAAGAAATAATTGGGCAAAAGTTTGGAGATAAGCATTGGGTGGGGAGGGGAAGTGATTGATATGACTGAAGATTGTGGGTAGAAAGAATTTCTGATGGTGGC